CTTGAGAATTTTGACATTTCTAAAGTGATGTTACAGCTGGGCACTGGTGGCTCACACCTGTAATCCTAGCTACTCAGGAAGCTGATATCTGAGGATCAAAGCCAGCCCGGGCAGGAGAGACCGTGAGACTCCTATCTCTAATAAACCACCAGAAAACTGGAAGTGGCGCTGTAGCTCAAGTGGTAGAGCCCTCGCCTTGAGCTGAAGATCTGAGGGACAGCGCCCAGGCCCAGAGTTCAAGCCCTACGACCGACAAAAAAAAAAAAGAGTGTCACAGATAAGACTAGTTTTAGCTGGGTGCTGGTGGCTCACACATGCAATCCTAGCTACTCAGGAAGCTGAGATCTGAGGATCACAATTCAAAGTCAGCCCAGTCAGGAAAGCCTATGAAACTTATCTTCAATAAATTACCCAAAGAAACCAGAAGTAGAGCTGTGGCTCAAGTGCTAAAAGCACCAGCCTTGAACAAAAGAAACTAAAGCCCTGAGTTCAAGCCCTACAACTGGCAAATAAATAGGTAAATATATAAATACTTTCCAGGTAGATAGTTGTTCACAAAAGATTTAGGATTTTGGGGCTGGGAAGGTGGCTCAGTGGTAGAGCGCTTGCCTTGCATGCATGAGGCCCTGGGTTCGATTCCTCAGTACCACATAAGCAAAAAGAAAAAAAAGCCGGAAGTGGCGCTGTGGCTCAAGTGGTAGAGTGCTAGCCTTGAGCTGAAGAGCTGAAGGGCAGTGCCCAGGCCCAGAGTTCAGGCCCCATGACCGGACCTCCCCAAAACAAAACAAAAGATTTAGGATTTTGAATTACGTTCATAAATACTTTGTTAAAGCTTATAGATTTCAATAGTGTATCAGCTTGGGCTGCAGATCCTAGACAGCTTTAGCATCTCTGGGATTTGTTCTTGTTTTTCTATAGTCTTCACTAATACTGGATTTAGCTATTTTTAAGTTCAATATCTAGGTAGAAACATTTTCAAGTTTTGAAATTAGTACTTTGTAATCTATATTGTAATCCGTCAGTATTCCCTCGTTTTTGCTATCCATCATCTTTATGTTACTCGTAAAAATTCTTTGTATATTTTGAGTAATAAATTTTTATTAAATGTATTTTCGATATAATTTCTATGGTGTTTCTTTTAATTTTGGTTAATGTTTTTTAAAATTTATATATTAAACTCCCTGTCTCTTAAGGTCTATCCACAACCTGTGGCACTTCTCAGGACTAAAAAGCTATCTTTTTTTTTTTTTTGCCAGTCCTGGGGCTTGAACTCAGGGCCTGGGTGCTGTCCCTGAGCTTCTTTTGCTCAAGGTTAGCTTGATACCACTTGAGCCACAGCGCTACTTCCAGCTTTTTCTGTTTATGTGGTACTCAGGAATCGAATCCAGGGCTTCGTGCATGCTAGGCAAGCACTCTAAGCCATCCTAAGCCACATTCCCAGCCCCAAAAAGCTATTTTTTAATTTCCCATCTTCTGTAATTTATAGGCTGGGCCTAGTTGGGAGTCCTTCTAGCAGGTTGCTTTCTAGCTTGAACTGCTTTGTCTCTAGTGAAATTTGTACCACGTAGGATGCCTTGATGTGGGCAAGAGATTGAGATTTCATGTGGGTGCAGCACCACTAAGCACTCTTACATTCACCTTGATTCTGCATTTTTCCTTTTTGGAATTCAGAGTGCCAAGCCCCGGCTGGACTGCTTGATTGAAGTGTACAGAAGCTGCCAGGAGATTCTGGCACACCAGAAAGCCACACCAACAAGCCCATGAGTCCCAGCATGCAGAAGGCCAGTACTGTCTTCCATGGGGGATGTCTCCCAAGCCATGGTGGCTGGTTTGTTTTCTCTATAGTAAAGCATTAGGTGGATGGGCCTAGGATCCACCATGCACTGGATCTCAGAGCCATAGAGCAGGTGACTGGAATTTGATGCAAGTATTTCTGTGTACTCTGGTGTTCCCCCAGTAAAGGTGTACTTTACTAACCAATGAGAGAACTTGAGAATTTTGACATTTCTAAAGTGATGTTACAGCTGGGCACTGGTGGCTCACACCTGTAATCCTAGCTACTCAGGAAGCTGATATCTGAGGACCGTGATTTCTTGCCCAGTGAGGGCAGGAAAGTCTGTGAGACTCTCATCTCCAGTTAACCACCAGAAAACTGGAAATGGAGCTGTGGCTCAAAGTGGTATAGTGCTAACCTCGAGCAAAAAGCTCAGGGACAGAGCCCAGGCCGAGTTCAAGCCCCACTACTGACCAAAAAAAAAAAAAAGTGGTGTCAGCAAAGAGCACTTTGTAAAATTTTGTAAGCACATTGAGCATTGTGTTGAAATTTGTGACAAACTGGTATCAAACCTCATGAGAAAGTTATGATTCCCTTCTATAATAGAATATACCTCTGTATAAAAAGGCAAAAAAGTCAAAGTTTCCAGGTGTGGGTTGACAGAATAAACAGCCTACAAAATACTAGCCTCTGCCCATGTGCTTCTTCCTTTCTGTACAAGGTTAACTTAAAATGACTTTTTTGTGTTTTGGTGGCCATCCTAGGCTTGAACTCAGGGTTTACATGCTGTCCCTGAGCTGTTTTGTTCTACCACTTGAGCCACAGCTTTGCTCCCAGCTTTTTGGTTCTTAATTGCAGATAAAAGTCTCATGGACTTTCCTACCCTGGCTGGCTTTTAACCACAATTCTCAGATATCAGCCTCCTGAGTAGCTAGGATTACAGGTGTGAGCCACTAGTATCCAGTAACTTTTTTTTTTTTAAAGTAGTGGTACAGGGATTTCAATTCAAAATACCAATTTATAAGATGAAAACTTTTTTTTTTTGGTCAGTCATGGGTTTTGAACTGTGGGCCTGGGGGCTGTTCCTACCTTTTCAGCTCAAGGCTAGCACTCTACGACTTGAGCACACCGCCACTTCTGGTTTTCTGGTGGTTAATTAGAGATAAGAGTCTCATGGACTTTGCTGCCTGGGCTGGCTCTGAACTGAGATCCTCAGATCTCAGCCTCCTAAGTAGCCAGGATTACAGGTATAAGCCCGATGCCTGGCTGATGAAAACTCTATAATAAACTATTTATTTTCCTAAACACACACAATTAATTATCTAGTTCATAGACAGGTGCTTTTTATTGACAGATATGATCACAGCATTTCAGTCATGGATATCAAGTACATTAATACTCTTCTGCTACTTAGCATTTTCTGTTACTTAAAAATTTGCTTTTGCCAAGAGGATAAAATAAAATTTGAGATAGAAATTTGGTTTCTGTTTCCAGACATGGAACCATCTTGTTAAAAGAGAAACTAAATTATAGAAACCTTTGTTCCTAAGGCAGTTTCTTCTATATTAAACTATTAAACTAAGAGAAGATTCCTGAAGCGTCAGGAAAAACAGAGATGGTGAGGGAAATAGCTTCACCCTAAATTCAGTGTAAACAGGCTCCATCCATACTCATTTCTTACAACTTTATTTTTAAGAAAAAATGCCTTGGCAGATATTATCCTTACTGACACTCAGAATATCAGCAGAGCTATGCAATCTCTGCCTTGTCCATCAGTCCTGAAGAGGTTTATGGGAGTCCATGGTACTTTTGATGTGTGACTTGTTTGAGGTAGAATTGTCTCTGCCAGACTCCCTCTCCTTGGGAGATTGAGAAGTGGGGACAAATGGGAAAACCCAACTGCCTTGCAAAGTCAAGTTCCTTTAAGAGGCTGGCTCACACCCCTTTCACCATGCATGTCAGTTTTAAAGGGGAAGCTTATAGCAGCTGAAGTTTCAGGTAAACTAGTTCCAGCCTTGTAGTTTTTGTAGACACACACACACACGCACACGCACGCACACTCTCTCAGGTAAACTAGTTCCAGCCTTGTAGTTTTTGTAGACACACACGCATGCATTCATTCTCTCTCTCTCTCTCTCTCTCTCTCTCCCTCTCTCCATCGCTCCCCCTCCCTCTCCTCTCCCTCAATTGGAGTTAAAGGCTTGGTTCTTGAATTCTCCTGCTAAGCCCACGTTTTTATCATAGTATTGACAAATGGTGACTGCCTTAGAGCTATGAAATAAAAACTCAAGTTTTTCAGTGTTGGAAAATCAGAGTTTGCACTCTTTTGTTTTGTTTTTTGTAAAGGAGGGTAGAAGCAAAGTTAATTTCCTCCTACCCCTCCTCAATCAGAAAGTCTGAGTGGATGAGGATACATTGTTTTCAGGGAGGCAAGCATGAAACTAACTGTACTTCATAGACTATAACAGGTATCACATACATATGTCCAACCTCATTCCCAGTGGAAGTTTTTCAGAAGTTCCAAGGGTCTTCTGTATTTCTGTGTCTTCAGTGGCCTCATAGGAGCAAAAGACAGAGAGCATTTGCTTGATCTTTTAGACAGTAACCACCTCGTCCTTCAGTAGTAAGCACAGCCTTCATTAAGATGAGACAGAGCGACATCAGACTAGACCTATTCCTCCCTTTTCCAAGCAGAGTGTGGTGCTAGGTTCAGCTCACAGTCCAGTGTAAGCAAAGAGCGTAAGTCTTAGGCAGGGATAGTATGTCCCTTGTAAAGATCAGCGCTGCTCCCAGAAGGGGCACTCACCCGTACAGGGGGAAGGTTAGGCCTTTTCCTCCAGTCTTGCCAGTATCTTTCCCACTTGGGAAAGGAAGTCCAGTTTTAGTGAGTTGAAGGCATTTGTCAGAGTTCAGGTGAGTTAGAAATTTCAGACCTTTTTCTGTTGGGATATTCAGAAAACTTCAAGTATAAATCCTCACATAAGGATCATATAAAAATTTATATATCTATATATGGGCTCCTCTGAGCATATCAGTGCCAAAGCCCCAAATGCAACCCTGCTACTCTTAGCAGTGCTGGGTCTTGTCTAAGTCAAGAAGCAGGTAGTGTCCAGAGTCAGATTTCTTGTGAAACAATTAGTGGTTTTTACACTGGACCTGGAGTTTCATATATTGGGCTCTAAAACATAAGGTACCTAGAGATAAAGGCTTCACAGACCCTACAATACACATTTTACACAGGCGGGTAAGTTAGATCCATTACAGTAGTAGTATATCCAGGACATACATCTCGATCCCAGAGACACCAGTGCTGGTGGAGAAATGGATCGGAGAAATCTTCATAGCAATGTTGGCCCTTTAGTAGTGCAGGAAACGGAAGCAAAGAACTGGCGTCCATCTAGTTCCCACGGCTGGTGGGCTGTGGGTGGGTTGGCAGGTGGATTCACAGTTGCAGAGCAGTGATTCATATAACTAGCCATGATGAAAGTGGCTTCTGCAATCTAAGGAGGTCAGAGAAGAGCTAGCTTAGGTTCAAGCACTGGCTTTCCCACTGGCTCTTGTATTGAGAACAGGATTGTTCTAAGCTTCAACTTCTTTCTCTTAAATTCTCACCTGGCAGGCAATGTCCAAAGGGGATCACTGTGGGGATTCAGGGTCTCAGTGAAATGGGTCTCTCTCTTTTTTTTTGGGGGGGGGTCCGGTCGTGGGGCCTGAACTCTGGGCCTGGGTGCTGTCCCTCAGCTCTTCAGCTCAAGGTGAGCGCTCTACTGCTTGAGCCACAGCGCCACTTCTGGTTTTCTACTGAAGATGAGTCTCACGGACTTTGCTGCCTGGGCTGGCTTTGAACCTCGATCCTCAGATCTCAGCCTCCTGAGTAGCTAGGATTATAGGCGTAAGCCACTTGTACCTGGCTAAAAGTAGTCACTTTCTAAATCATGCCCAGGTTATTTTTCTATTTAGCTCTTATGAAGAAACATTTGTGTAAACACATGGGTATAAATTTCTTTTTTATTGTAAAGGTGATGTACAGAGGGGTTTCAGTTAAATAAGTAAGGTAATGAGTACATTTCTTTCTTTTTGTCGGTTGTGGGGCTTGAACTGTGGGCCTGGGTGCTGTCCCTGAGTGCTTCAGTTCAAGGCGAGTACTCTAACACTTGAGCCACAGCACCACTTCCAGTTTTCTGGTGGTCAGTTGGAGATAAGAGTGTCACAGAAGCCGGGCGCTGGTGGCTCACGCCTGTAATCCTAGCTACTCAGGAAGCTGAGATCTGAGGATCGTGGTTCAAAGCCAGCCCGGGCAGGAGAGACCGTGAGACTCCTATCTC